TGTTGATGAGTTGTGACACAACTAATGAACAACTGTTCGTCATCGTCAAGCAGACGAGGATTTTTCTCGCCTCGCTCTTGACGGCCTCCTTTTATAGTCTGCACATTCGTCTCATAGCACAGGTTACAGGCGCAAATTGCATATTGGTGAAATATCGCCTACATCTGAGGCGAAAACTTGGTTTCAATACTTCCAATAGCAGTTCGTTCCACTTCCAAAGCACATTTGGCAAAAGAAATGGTTCCAGAGACTTCCTATTCATACGAACCCATGGCTCCTAAGAAGGTAGTGCGCACAAGGACTCAGTGCCCGGTCCTGAGGTCCACAGCCCTTCCATAGTACATCTTGCGCCCACAAAAAGGGGCAGAGACACTCAGAATCCTCTCCACTATAATTTACAACTATGCCAATACACATGTGTATGTGAGGACAGAGGAAATATTGCCCAACAAGCCCGTGAGGCTCACTACTTACCTGCTTTCTAAGGTTCTGCAGGTAGTGCTTAAGGTCGCCAAAAGGCACATACTCCATCACCATACACTGAAAATCCGGTTCTTCACAGAGTCCATACATCGTCACGATATTTGGGTGACGACCGACCTGAAATACTTTATAGATGCTGGGACCGATTTGCCCGGATAACTGGCCATTAGTTTCACCTGTTTCATGATGTCCATTTCACGTAGAAATTCCTCACGCTCTTCGTCGATGGCATTCGTCTTCAACTGTTTGATCGCAACTCGAACCGCCATTCCTTTCGGACCGCTCATTGTGCCCTTACAAACCAGGCCAAATGCTCCCTCTCCTGAACACGGCTTGAATCAAGAGTCCAAAAAAGGCAATAGATTTATTGGGAGTCCAGAATTAAGCTTGAGAAGAAGCAATATGGGAATATGGGAAACTCTTTTGTGAGTCAACTAATAAGGCAAACACGCTCGGGTTTGTCTCTCTATTTGTTTGTTTGTTTGTTTGTTGTTTATTCCTTCATTCATCAGGGGCCTCCCACGTAACATTAACTGAAGAAGGGGCTCAAGAGTCAGGTCGCGGCAGGTTTGCGATAGGTAGGGCATAGGGCAAGACCAATAGACGACATGTGGCCTCAGCGGAGCTCCGCCCACGGTGGGCGGGGCATGCGCATGAATGGGCAGTGCCATAAGCGGAGCTCCTTGATCTGGTTTCATAACTACCCAAACGCAGGGGAAAACGAGCAAAGGTGAAAGAAGAGTCTACAAATGAAATGAAGCAGATCTTCCCGCGGTGGAAAAAGCGCCCATATTGGGTGGACGGTAGTTTCTTTACAACCTCAGTTGCAGTTGACAAAATGTAAATTTATGGCTGGCTCCGGCTAGTTTATGACGGTTATCATCAAAGGTGAGCATGTTCGAAGACGGTTTCACTTCATACCAATTACACCGCCGACGCTGACATCATCACTGGGAATTAGCCATTCTTCCTCGGTTTGTGGAGTTCGAAATTCAATGGGCTGGCGATAAAGGATATTCGTCTCAAGGATGGAATGCCTGAAAGATCTAATTGGAGGGACGATCCCTGAAAGATTCCTTATCTGGGAACAGAACAGACCTTGAATGCGAGAGCGTCCACGGTCCAAAACGTGGCAATTTTCTCTTTTTAGCGCTTTGCCGCTTTCGATACATGCAATACACAAACACCGTACACAGTGGACTCAACATTGTAATTACCAGTAACAGAGCGATGAATGTTGACGGATCGATCTTCAAAGAACAAAAAAAAA